AAGGGTTGGTTCAATGAACTGGTGCGGTTCAATGAACCGTTGATCCCGGTACAGTAGCCCGATGGTCCAAGGCCGGTTTGAAAAATTAAAAACAAAAATATAAAATAATCATAAAATAATAAAAATTTCAAAAAAAAAATAAAAATAAAAATCAATTTCTAAACTAGAATTTTAGGGTCGAATAGCTAGTTCCAGTTTAGAACTTGAACTGGTTCAATTTTTTTTTAAAAATAAAAAAATATGAACCTGAACCGGCTCGAGTAAAACTGTAGACGGGTTCAAGGTCCACGATCAACTGGATTGACCGGGCAAATTTCGAGCCGGTTTTGAGTCGGTTCGAACCATGATCACCACGTGTATATGGAGTAGGAGAAAAAACTTTATGAAAATTTTGAAATAATTAAAAGTGTTTTTAATATTCATAGTACATTGATTAACATTCTCTTCATTAACTATAGAATTAGAATTAACATTCTATGCTCTAAGCCTATAAAAGCTAGTGATATGTATAGGGCAGCTCATATCCGAGGAATTAAAGATATAATTAATTAAAGTCCCGAAAACCATAGGCTTGTGCTTTTCATTTGGTCCCCTCTACCTATAGGCTATAGCTACAAAGCAAGTAGAGATGATGAAACTCTTCATATATATCAAAATTAATTAATTCCCTGCTTAATTAATTATCATGGATCGTAAGGTGACTAATTATAAGAAAAATGCTACGGTCTCATTACAGAACTATTATGTCGGTATTTGTAACCGTTAGATCATCATGCAACCTTTTGGGGATAGTTGATGATCTAACGATTAGAAACTTCGATAGAATGATTCCGTAACGGAACCGTAATATCTCCCCTAATTATATTATTGTAAATTTAAACATTTAATATTACCCTATTTTATTATCATTACGTAAGGCTTCCCATTAAAAATTCCATGCCAATATATGCCATACGTAGTTCGTCTTCAAAATACTACAAATTAGTTACTAAAAACAACAAAAACTTATAAAATCAAATTTTCATTAAGTTTTATCCAATATATGAAGGGGAATTAAGTCCAATCTGAATGTTAATTATGCTTAAACATAATCCATCACACTTAAGCAAAGAAAAACTTTAAAATTCATGACTCTTCGAACACAAAAGATCCAAAACAACATTACATAAATAATAATAATATATATATATATATAAAAACTCGATTTTTGATCGATCAATAGAAATACCTCCTCTTGTCATTTCCGCCATCAAACTCTCCCCAATTCCCGGTCGAGCTACCACCGGGCCCGCCCGACGAACTCCCATAGCCCGACCCATGATCATCGAACCCCACAAAACCCACCGAATTCCGACCATCATTCGAAGGCATCATCGCCACGGAAGAAGGCACATCACTACCCGACGGGCCTTGAGAACCGAAACCGGGCCCCACCACATTAACATAACTTCCATAATCGAAACCACTCGCATTATTATAATAATAGTTATTATTATTATCATCGTTTTTGTTGTCTTTTTTGTTGTTGTTGTTGTTGCTCCAGCGCATGAGCTCTGCATAGTGTTGTACATTGGGATAGTTATAGTTGTACTCCCGAGGGACGAAATTAGGCTGGTTTTGAGGGGCGGCTGTTGTGAGGTAACCGAGGTGGTCGGACTTGGGCTGGACTCGCTCGGGAAAATTGAGCTTGGCCTTGCTTCCCTTGAACCTTAGGGCCGCCTCGTCGTAGGCCATGGCGGCAGCCTCAGCCGAGTCGAAAGTGCCGAGCCAGACGCGGGCCGCCTTCTTCGGGTCGCGGATCTCCGCCGCCCACTTGCCCCACGGACGCTGGCGAACCCCACGGTAGTGCCTCTTCCTTGTGCTACTTGCTGCATGTTATGTTTGTTTGTACAATTTCCTTGATAATTAATAATATGGAATATTCATGTTATGTAAATGTTAGTTCAACTGAATTTGTGTTGTTACTTGTTTGAGATAAGTGAAATGATTAATGAAAATATATAGAGAATTTTGTAATTTAATTGCGTTTAGATCAAAATATTTTGTATGCCAAGATTCATATATCTAAAATTAATTAAGCATTCCTTAGCTAGCTAGCTACTATATATCAAACAAATCCAAATAAAATATATGTGAGAAATTCATCAGAGCATATTATTAACTATTAAGTATCAAATTAGCGAGGAAATTGAGCTCCAGCTAATTAACTAACTTGGTTATATAGGATAATTTGTGATTGCTTAATTTGTTTATATTGATTTTTATTTTTATTTTTATTTTTTTGTGTATCAAGTTATAAAGAAATCAAATCTAGTAACTTGTCAAAACCCATTTTTTTTTTTTTTTCTTGACATAAGATTATAAGATTTTTGGCTCATACAGTCAAGTCCAACATGAAAAAATTAAGAACTGAAGGATCATTTTAGGACACTCCACACATACACACACACACACAAATTATATATATGTATATACCTTGTTCCTTTATGAGCTGGGGTTGGGTGTGGGGTGGTGCAGCTATTTGATCGTGGGCGTGAGCATCGGGCGGCGGGTAATGGCTGCCGGAGTAGCCAAGGACTTGAGAGAGGGCGGTGACCATGGCTGACATATCTTGTTGGGATCTTGCCGAGTAGATCGGAAAATGCTCCTCTTTAGGCTCTGATCCATCGGGCGAAAGGGCCCTTTTCCCTCGACTCGAATCCACTTTCGCTTTCGGGTCTTTTTTTCGCACTCTTATTGAATTAGGTTGAGAAGGACTTTGAGCTAAGTGTGTTTTCTAGAGAGAGATGGAGAAGATGAGAGGTTTGTATTTAATGAAGAAGGACAAAGGAGCTCATGTACTCCTATATACTTTTGTAACTAGGGTTTCATTCTAACTTTATTTCAAAATATATTTATATATATATAAATGTACTAGTACAATACCCAAGTATTACACGGGAGGTTGATGCAAAAATTAAATGTATAGTAAAATATTAGAAAAATATATACTTTGTTGAAGTTGAAAAAAATAATTAAAGAACCATATATAACGTTTTACAATAAACAACTAAGTGAACTAAAAATATTATTTTATATTCTGAAAACATATTCATATACATCATTGCTTTTATTTATGATATATTTATTTAATACATTTAACAGAATAATATTAACATAGCACAAAATTTGGAAAGTAAGATTGTATGCACATTATAGAAAGAAGATAATAAATAGATTTATATTGAATGATTTAACTATATTAAATATCTGTATATATATGATAATTCAAACCTAAGATCACAAAGCGTGCGAAACTGCCACTTAAACTCAACACGGTCTGAATTATATATAAAGGGGATATTCTTATGTTTTGACATATAGTGGAGTAATCCTAATAAAGTGTACTTATGGTGATGGAAAATAGGAGAAGTACTATTGAATTAACGCATATAAGTGTGAGTGTAATTTGACCGGTTTTGCTATGAAACCAACAGTTGGCTCCATAGTAGAGCCAATTTTCTATATATATCAAGTAAACCATACCATATTAATAAAATTATATTAGTGTTATATAAGTAATTAAAGAATATGATAAGTTTATTTGTTGTATATAGAAAGTTGGCTCCAATATGAAGCTAATTGTCGACTTCATAACAAAACCGGTAATTTGACGATAAAAAATCTATATACTATTGAATTATCATATATAAGTGTGTGTATTCTAATGGTAAAAAATCTGGTGGCGACAACAGTCGGTACAAATATTTACTAATAAAGTTCTTGTTTTTTATTTAGTTTTTAATTATTGCAGTATGTTTGGATGTGAAATGAGGGTGATCTTCATGTTAGATTTTTTTTTTTTTTTAA